TTGCAAACTAGATAACAGCTAAATCGAACCTCTTCGAGGTTAGACTTAGCATATGGTATACATTTTAGGCTTGCATGGTCATGCCCAGCTCAATTCACGTCACTTTGTTCCTTGATTTTCGTTGGGCCCTCCAGAGGCAAGTAGAATAGCATAAAAGTTATTATTAAATTTAGGTTTGCAATGTCAGGCCCAGCTCAAATCACGTCACTTTATTCCTTGATTTTCGATGGGCCCTCCTGAGGCAAATAGAATAGTAAATATTTTTTGATATATTATTTGGGATTAAAATCAGGCTAGAATTGTTATATCAAACAGTGTAGTTCTTGATATCAGCTGGGCTAATTCCTAGTCAAGTTCGATATCATCATCTAGAATTGAGTCAAAATGCGCTAGAAGTTTGAATTTGATAATTGATTCATATAGCTAAAATTGGTTCGTGAGCGGGCAGGAATCTTTTCTGAGTACTATTTCGAAATCTGTCACAGAATCCCCTTTTTGCCCTATATCTGATCTGTTTATAATTTTAAGGACTAGTTATCAGGATCGTGAATGAACTGGAGCAGACTGACACATCTTATATATATATATATATATATAGACTTTATATATTTCAAATGAAATTAAATTAGCTAATCTATATAACTTTTAATTTTATTACAAATTATTGAAAAATTTTTTTATAAACATAATTCAATATAATTATAGAACTTTGTGATTTTAAAGAATAGATGCAAGTGATATAATTGAATTTAATAATTATAATCTTGATTTAATTATAAATTTCTATTTTCTAATTTATTTATTTAAGTATTATATATTAGTTTTATTAAAATAAATCCTTTTTTTTAGATTTAATAATAATAGTAATAATATTAGATAATTTACTTAATTAAAAATGAATATTATAATATATTTTTTTTAATTACTAAATTATTAATAAAAATTTAGAATCCAATCTTATAATAATTTTAAAATTATTTACAAAATTACTTTTGATTTAATTTTATTAATAGATAATTAGAATTTTAATATAAAGAAAATGAATATTTAAAAGCTTGTACAGTCATACCTCTATATAATCACACACTCTTTAAGCATATATAGTTAATTTTGATAGGTTCAAATCATAAGAAAAATCCCTTCCTATAATCACAATCATAGTAATATCTCTTTATAAGCACATTTTGCTTTAAAAGTCACTATGTGCCCGACTATGTGACTATAAAGAGGACTACTGTATCATATTGCTTAACTTTTATACATTAATTAACAATTTCTATTGAGTTATAGTTATATTATGGCAGGGTTGGGAATTTTGTAATTTTGTATGTACTAGATAAAATTACCACTATACTTGTACTGTACTTGTACTAATTTTTATATTAATTATTATTATGTACTAACTGTACTAACTGTACTAATCATTGTACTAACACTATACTTCCCAACACTGATTATGGTATTATCCTTAAAAATTAACTTTTTTATCAAAAATTAAAATCATCTAAAAAAAATTCTCGAGAGGTTTAAACCAGAGCATTTGATTGGTCATATTATGTTATATATATATATGTATATAAAAAAAAAAATACTCTTTTTTTAAAAAAAAAATGTTTGCTCAATGTAAAAGTTATTTGTTTTCTTTAAGCAACAATTTGTTCTATACACCATTAAAGGGTAATTATTTTATTCTAAACTCAACTCTTAAGTTATTGACCTGTACGTACTAAATAATTTTTTTTAAATATAGCTCGTTCATTTCATACAACGAAAGTTTTACAAAAACGTCATTCAAAAGATATAAAACGAAAAAATCTTATGAAAAAGGTTTCAAAATTACAACAAGAAAAATCGCAAAAACCAAATGTCATAACAGGAGTACCAACAAAATTTACAGATTCATTTTTACGTCCTTCACAAGTTTATGCTTCAACCGCGGCTGTTCGAAGCAGTAAATCATCATCAGAGAATAATCATCAATATAGGAATTATTTTTTAGACCAAAAAGATGAAGATTTTTTATTTAATATTACACCAACTATTATAACAGAAAATTCTACACAAGGAAATCAAGAAAAATTCAAGTTAAAAGAATTAGAAAAGGTCCAAATGATTAAAAATCTTACTAGTTTACATAATGCTAATTCTAAAAGTATTTTGTTGTATAATATTCAATTAGCGATTAAAGAATTTGCTAGAAAAGAAGGCGATACCGGTAGTGCCGAGGTTCAAGGTAATTAAAAATTCACGTTTTTTTTTAAAAAAAATTCATTATAATAATTTTTTTTTTTTTTTTAAGCTGCTGTTTGGACTGCTAAAATTTTAAATCTTAATGAACATATTAAAAATAATCATAAAGATAAACATAATTATAGAGCTTTAAGACAAATGGTACATAAGAGACAGAGTATATTAAAGTATTTGAAAACGCAAGATTTAGGTAGATATTTTACATGTCTAAACAAATTAGGCTTAGATCAAAAATCTATCGAAGGTGAAATTGTCATGTAAAAAAAAATTACTTTGGTAAGGAATTTCCCTACTCAAAAAATATTTTTATTAAAAAAAAAAATTATCATTAACACTTTTTTTATTAATTAATTCCTTTAGCTTTCGGAAATATACCGTTATTTATTTTATAAAGAATATTATTAATCATACCAATTGCTTATTGGTATTTATTTATAAGGTTATATATAGTATACATAAAGTATGATGAAATCATTTTTAGGGAAAAAAAAAGAATCGTGGAATAAGAATTTTGTTAGTGTATATATTATTGAATTAATTCAGAATATGGGAATGAAGGTTGGAAGGAATTTATACATAACAGGAAAAATAATATAATAATAATAAATTAATTATACGGATGATGATGTTACTTGTGATGATTGTTCCTTTTTACGAATTTCCTCAAAATACGGATGTTGAAGTGCATCTTCCGCACTAATGCGCTTTTCTGGTTGGTATTCTATTAACTGCTGCTGGCAACAAATAATTGTATTTTCCAAATTTCAAAAAAATAAAAATAAAAATAAAAAAAATAAAAATTAATAAATAAAATTAAAAATAAATCAACTTATCATATGCAAGAATTTTAAAACCACGTTCTGTAAAAATAATTTTTAAACTCACGCTTAGTAAATCTATTCCTGATGGATCAAGTTTCGGAAGAATTGATTCTAATGGAATTCGATTATAAATAGCAAAATCGTTCTAACAAATATATCACGAATTATTAAGAGTCACATAATAATTATTTCTTGCTCTACTAAATAAACTTACTTTATATTCCGGCAACTGTGATACTCTTGGCCATGTTTCCTCTGTTGGTGTTCCTAGAACTGTGATAACGTGGTTAAGAAATATTAAGCTTGAATCTTTTGTTTATCAAAAATAAAAAATTAAAATTAAAATTAAAGGAAAGGATATTTAAATATTCGTAACAGCTGATCTTTAATTGAACTTCCTGGAAACAAAGGTCGACCAGAGGCCATTTCTAAAATAAATAAATGAATTATTATAATCATTATTAATAATTTTTATTTATTTTTTTTATTTTTAAAAATATATTATAAATAAAATTAGGTAACCTGCAAATATACATCCTGCAGACCAAACATCAATAGACGTTGAATATTGCCTTGATCCCATTAATACATCTGGTGCACGATACCATAACGTTACCACCTATAACAAATTTTATCACATTTACCAATATTTATATTAAATTAATTCGAATTTTATTTTAAATAATAATAATAATAATTCATTATGTAAAAAAAAAACAAACCTCATGTGAATAACTTCTAACAGGAATTCCAAATGCACGCGCAAGACCAAAATCTGCCAATTTCAATTCTCCTCGCTTAATAAATATTTATCAGTAAAAAAAAAAATATATAAATATCAAATAATTAAAGCTAAATCTATTTAAAAGTCCACCTTGTTGATAAGTAAATTCTGTGGCTTCAGATCCTACAATTTTTTTTTAAAAAATTTTAATTAGTGTAGTGTAAAATATGTAAGTTCTCAACTTGAAAATTTCTAATTAATAATTATACCCTATGCAAAACTCGATGTTCATGACAAAATGCGATACCCTTCAGAAGTTGATACATTAATTGCTATAAATAAAATAAAGTTTAATTTAATTTGATAAAATATTTCATAATCAATAAAATCATTATTATAATCACTTTAATTGTGTCTTTATCCAGATCACCTCCGTATGTATCTAAGAATTTCTTTAAATCCGAATCCAAATATTCAAAAACTAACGTTAGCTTCTTTTCCGTATGTAAGACATCATAAAGTCTTTTAGAAATTATATAAATTCGTTTTAATTAATTCGCACAATTAATAATGATCTTTTTTTCCCTTGGAATCGGTCATTAACTAAACTATAATAAAATAATTCACCTCACTATATTCGGATGTTTTAATTCTTTCAATAAAGATATCTCACGAATTGCAGTACATGGTACCTATAAATAATAAAAAAGCTGATTAAAATTGGACCGATGGAATCAATTATAAAATCAATTGATTGAATCAGAAATGATATTGTACCCCTTCTTCTTCATTATCTAACCTTATCCGTTTCAATGCGACTACTTCATTTGAATCCCGATTCTGTGCCTTATAAACAATACCATACGTTCCTTTATTTCGAAGACGATCAACCAAATATTATTAGTAACTTTAGCTTGGATAATAGAAAACATTTAAGTAAATATAACCTACCTTCTCCTAACTTTTCAATTTTCTGTTAAATAAAAAAAAGTTAATGGACGAACTTTGAAAACCGATTTAAAAAAAAAAGAAAAAAGGGTAAATGTTCACTTGATATTTATCCATTTCAAAAATTCAGAAAGAAAATTCAGACTATCAAAAAAAATTAAAAGATGTCTACAAAAGGGAAAAATAGAGAATTGGTAAAAAATTTAAACTGAAGTCAGGAAGGTTGAGAATGAGTGAATTTTTTTTGCTATAAATTCCGTGATACCATAAAATTTCTTTTCTAGTAAAAACATGCTTTATACTAAACTATACATCGTAATTTTCTTTTCATATCTTTATGCTAACGTAATTGATGTTACAACGGTTGCACAATGGAAATTTTGGGTAGCGTTTCAAGTCATGTGATGCATTCTCCTTATCTTTTTTATCTTTGACGAGATTTGAAAAAAAGATAAGCTGCGGAACTTTCACATTCCAGTTTCGTAAAATCAGCCTTCCCCTGTAACCAAAGTGCATTATTTACAAATTCATAATACAATAGTCACCATTCTTTCAAATTTTTTTTTTTTTTTTTTTTCTCCCTCTCTCTTTTTCTCCTGTACATGAATGAAGAACAATGAGTTATATTTAAAAAATAATAATGAATTTTTTTTTAATCGAATTTGTAAAGAAATAGTGTGAAAGACAAAAAAAGTCAGCTTAGGATTATATAATTACATGTATGCACAATATCGGTGACAATTTGCAAAAAAAAGAAAAATTATTGCTAATCCATAACAAACAGCATTGGAAAGTCAATTGTTTTCTTGCATTAGCATCACATCATATTATTCGCTTTCATCGATAATTGCAATCAGTTGACCTTTAAATCGTACAAAAAGCCTCCGCCGAATTTACAATTAACTTAATCTACATCATGGATACGATCCATCATCATCAATTATTCCCCCCTGAATGATACGATTATAATCATTATAAATATGATGATAATTGAACGGCCCAAAATTTTTTTCTCACCAGAAATTGAAAAAACATTTCTCAAAATAACTTTTGAAATAACACATTTAACACAAATAATCTTTTTTTTTAAAAAACTTAAAATACTTGCAATAATGGTTAACGGTATAGAAGTTAGATATGAAGAAAAATTTGGTTATGGTTTATTTGCCACACGAGATTTCGAAAAAGGCGAAATTATTTTATCGGAAACTCCCCTTATAAACACATTATCTTCAAAACGTGATCGTGCATTCGCATATACATTCGATGTTGACTTGAGCGTATTCTCAACTTTCAAAGCATTCCTTGACGCTTCTCCAGAAGTTCAAAATGTCATATTAAATAAGTTCTATCTTCCTCCTCAAGACCAATTTGACTCGGCATGGTCTTCAATTGGGTCCTCAAATATTGATAAAATCATTACAACATGTATAAAACGTGTTGAAGCTTGGTCGGACATACCTGAAGAAACTTTTCGAAAAGTTTTCATGATTTTCACTTTGAATTCTCACGATTTCAGCTCGGATGGTTCTGATGGTTCAGCTATTTTCGTGTTGGGAAGTAAGATGAATCATTCTTGTGAAGCAAATACTTTTTATCAGTCAATTGATGGCCGAGGTGTTCATACCGCTGTAACAAGAATTTCCAAGGGCGAACAAATTACCACAGATTACCTTGGTAAGGATAGTATCCTCTCAAAAAGTGTAAGGCACATGATTCTTAAACGCACAAAATTGTTCACATGTGAGTGCCCGAGATGCACCGAAGGAATGGATGTCTCACGTGGTTTGCCTTGTCCAAATTGTTCGGGATGTATTCAGAATCAAAGAAGGATGAGCGGAGGATATATTTACTGGTATCCCATATTATCCACCACAGAAAACAAGACTTCAACGGCACAGAATTATTGGTTATGTGATATGTGCAATTCTCGTTTCGAAGATAACAGTCCAAGACTTTATAGCTTATTTACAAGGGAAGCAAGTTTAGTGCAAAAGGTGATTGCTCTCGAAGAAAAATTAAACAACAATCCATTTATAAGTCGTTCTCAATTAAATGACCTCTACAACGCTTGCTTAACTCAACTTGGTACTCGTCATTGGACCTATATCATAATTCTTAAGATTATCATTCTTTTCGATGCATCTAATGGTAAATTACAATCAAAAAACACCATAATTGAATACCTTGATCAAGTTTTGACCTGGTATGAAAGATATGACTTTGACGTTCCAAGATATTTAGGCGTTTTTGTATTGAGAGTTGCCAGTGTATTGATTCAAGCTGGTGAATATGGTGTCGGGTTATTTTTCCTTGAACGAGTATTTGATGATTTTGAATATGGTAACACATTCGTTCAAGATTACAAATTCGCTTTGGATCTTATGGCCAAATGTCGTGCTGCAATAGCACATACAACATCCTTAAAAGATAATGTGGTTACAAATCAGATAAACTGTGAACCACTCAAGATCGTATAGCTGTAGTTGTTGATGTAGATAGTTAAAGGGACTATTTTTATTCTTTTTTTAGATAGGCCGTGCGCAATTTAATTATATGAGTAAGTTCTTTATCCTTTGATATTAGAAATTACCGTAAATATGTAAAATATTTTTAAAAATTTTTGATTAATTAGTAAATATTTAGAATAATTATTGTTGATTTTTTTCTTTTTTGTATATTTTCAATAAAACAAAATATAAAAAAATAAAATAAAAAAATAAAATTTTAGAAATAAAGCATAAAATTATTAAAATTATGAACTCGTTTTTGCATAATATCCTAAACGGATCATATGATTACAACCTAAAAATGTATTAGGCATTCTTTAGCATTGACATCTCGTTTTTCTAAAAGATTCGGACACAGATATCATCTCAAAATATTGATTTTTAAAAAAAGATTAACGACCCTTCAGAATTTCTCATCTTCTAATCATATGGAAAATTATTTGATTGGACTTTAAATTGCCAACTTACCTTTGATAGCCTTAGCCTCGCTCATTAGTTATTCTCGCTCAATATGATCTGAAATAATAAATAATACTAGGATTGTCGAGGCTGCTTCACTTCACTTCGTCAAACAGCAACTTATGCCAAATAAGATATAAATCAAAATTTTATAATCGAACGTAAAACTTATATTACAAATTGGATCGAAGTTTATTAGTCATTAAATAAGAAATTAATAATAATAGAATGCATAAAATACAAAATAATACAATTATATATATATGTTTTTTTTTAAATAGTAATTTTTTTTTTCTCTTCTAAAAAATCATCATACTTTTAATAATATATTACCACCAGACTTCATCATCACTAGCAGAATTTACTTCATCACTATCGTCACTTTGTTCAGTATCGGAATCATCTTCTTGTAAAACAAAAAAAGGCCTTGTTCTTGGAAATCTATTTTTCTTACTTAACATAAAATCTGTCATTATAGTTATTCTTTCTCTCATTATTCTTCTAGCACGACCAAAAATTACATTTTTGCCAGCACCTTTCTCAATAGGTTGTCCTTTTGTTATATTCCATCTTCTAGACGTACCATTTTTTGTTTTTCTTCCGAAAACCACATTGTTTAAATATAAATAAATTCTATTTAATACACCGGAATGTAAAAATCCACTTTTACCATCATTTTGCCAAGATCCACGTTGTTCTAAAAATTCTTCCAATTCGCTTCTTGTCATTGGTCGATAACATATACTTGTGCGATAAGTTGGTGAAAAATATTGTGGATATTTAACTAAATCCGGCATTTCTTTATGATTTTTCCTCCATAAATCTTCCCAAAATAAATACCACCATTGATGTACACGTGATAAATTAATAACTCGCATCCTTTCGTAAAGATATATAAAACTTGGATATTCACTCTCCGGAATTGCTTGAATAAGTTTATTTTCCTCGGTGGTAATTAATAATGCTGGAAGTGACTCCAAGGGTATAGATGGATTGTCATAAATATTAACGAAAAATCCATATGAAAGTACTTCCTCCTTCCATTGTGCCTCATTCCGATAGTATTGACGATATTCATCCATTAACTTTTGAATTTGCACCAAACCTTCTTGAACAACCTTTTGATTATCCGAAAAAAGCTTTTGTAATTGATAAGTCATTTGGAAATCATCAGTAATTCCAAGGACATCATGACCAACAACACATTCATGCGAAGGATTATCATAAGACATTGTAACCTTAAATCCTGGATTCATATTATGATCGCGCCACTTTGATAATTTATTTCGCTGTATCGATAAAATTCCATGATGATAATGAATCGAATTCCTCGTTTTCTTATCGGTATTAGGTTGAGTAATATCACAAGGCCCCATAACCTTTTGTCCTTCTAAAGTTCTCAACATTTGACGAACGAGACGTCTCCTTCGAATCTCTTTGCTCTCATTCTGTTGGACAAATCTCTGAATTTCCCATTCTTTTGTTAGAACCAAAACACTTTCATCATCGTCATATACTATCACAACGGAAAATGGAAATGGAACTGCATAAGCTTTGCCAAAGCAAGTCTTAATTTTAGGTACTAAGAATTCTGGTGCGTAATAAATGTCAGGTCCAACAAAATTATTTACAATAGTTAATCTTAATTTGGCGAGAGATTCTGGCAAGGGTGCCATTGCTGAAATATAATTCTTAATTCCAATTTGTCTAATAATTTTCAAATTCTCAACATGTCGTTCAGCAACAGTTCCAGAAAAATTTAATAGGTATGGAGGTCTGAATGTGCTTTGAGAAAATGCTACTGTTTTACCATCGCGCATTTTAAATTGTTCAGATGTGAGCAGTAATGTTGACCATGTTTCTTGCCATACTCTACGTTTGATGTGTTTAGCAAAATCCAATTTTGGAGAATAAATATTCAAAGAAAAATCCAATCGCTTCCTCATAACCTTGACAAAACTTTTGTAACGATTAGTTTGCTCTATAATATGCCAAACGACAACAACGCCAACTATAAGATTTAACGCAATCAACGCATAGTTTATTTGTCTTTCCGGTCCAACTTTAAGAATAGTTAACAATCCCAAAATGCTTGTTATAACATAACCAGCTCTTGACCAATATTCACTTAAATTCTGACCCATATAAAGAAAAGGTTCACTACGCCAATGAATTAAAAGTAAAATAAACATCAAAAGAATTTGAAGACTAGAACGGACTGTATCTACACGCACCCTTGCAAATGATCTAAAGAGGCAATTGTCTTTTGATATCACAGATACAAGAAAGATTAAAAAAAACTTATTGACCATAATGAATGTTTTATAAGCCGCCCACTTATCATTATATGCTATAAGTCGAAAAAAAAAGGGAATCAATTAATTTTAATTGATTAATATGATTAAATGATTATATTAATATCTTACCATTATACAAGAAATTATAAGGACATGTATCTTTCATCAATAGCTTTTTGTACTCTACTTCTGTATTATGTCTCGTTTCACCCAATTCATCATATTTGTCCACTCTTGGGAGATTCTTATCAACCAAACGTTTTAATGCAAGAGGAAACCAGAATGAGAATACACAAATTGTTATTATTGCAACACCAATGATCACTGGTGAAAAGTTTAAATCATTTTTGTTCATGCTGGTGACATAACAGAAATCTTTTGGATCGCGAAAATTATCCGAACCACTTCCAAAATCGGGGAAGTCTACATTTTGAAAGTAGGGGTTAGGGATAGGCCAAAATGAGTCCGACCATACCAACGCGTCAAGAGATAATTTTGAGAGTGGAAGATAAAGCGTGGTAAGGGTGAAAACTACAACGACGTTATGTCTTCGCTTTGATTCAGGACGAATGTTCCAAGGATGAGATTCGAGACCCTATTATTTTAATCATAAATTTTAAAATCAATAATGATTCATGTATTTAACAAATATTTAAATGGTAAAATGGTAAATAAAAATAATTAAAAAGACCTCAACATCAGCATTCGGATCATATTTAGTCATTGTTCTGAACCAATATAACCCTCCAAAAACAATAACACAAAAGACGAGGAAAAAAGTGGTCCCATTTCCAAATACGTGATCCAAATTAAAACTCAACAAATTTGGTATGAGGTCTAGTATGATCTTCACCCAGTCTCCAACTATTGTTGAAGGAACAAATGTTAGAATCAAAGCCAAAAATTGTACAAAGTCTCTCATGATTTCAAGCTTCATCATATTCATTCCAAATGTTGTAGTTTGACCAGCTAAAACAGCCTCGATTGCAGATTCAAGTACTCTTTGATTTAAAAGTCCGTCATTCTTTACGACGTTAAGTTTTAGATCATCTAAACAGATACCATCAGGGATTTGATTCATTGGAGGAAACTTGTTTCCTATATTTTTGTCTTCAGATTTTCCATATTTGATAAATTTTTCATATTCCTCAGCTGTCATTAATTCCTTCGGTTCAGAGAATTCAGTTGGAGGAAGAGATAAAATAAATTCGTCAAGGCGAGGTAAATATATCCATGGGGCGCCAGGTTTAAAAAGTTCATTGGATTCAGATTCATTAAATGGATTGATACTAAATTTTGTTATCTTTGCGGGATCTAAATCTACGTCCTCCGTAATAGCCATGGCAAAATCCGACTTTTGGTGCTCATCTTTGGATATTGAATCGATTCGCGTGAAATTGGGTACCGTCATATTATTTTTGAGAAAAGCGTCATTAAATTGATGATGACGATATCGTATTGACAAATCTGGTAAGGAATGATTGTTCCTCCCATATTCTACCGAAGAAAGACTATGAGGAACGAGCATGGACATTTTAGATTTTGATGTATTATATTCGGGCAGGTCATGTTTCGTAATTTTAAACGTTTTCTTTTTAATTAAAGGATTTTTCTTGAGTGTGTTTACAGGAGAAAGTGAGTCTCGTTCAAGTCGTGTAGTGCTATATGGTGATTTAGGGATCCGAACAGGCTTGAAATTTTGTCGTTGACAAGATTTTATGCCACTTTTTGAATTGAATGTTTGAAAGGATCCAGATTTTCCTAATGAAATTGTCATAGCATATTGTACTTCGTTATTATGGACATTTCGTGATGTAGTGTTTTGTATCGATTCATTAGTGCCATCTGAATTTTTGCATTTATTTGGCTGTAAATAACTTTGTAGTTTTTCAATAAGTTTAACTGTTCCGCTGATAGGCTTTGAAAACATTGGTTTAATTGTGGAATCATTTTCATTTTCCTTGGGAATTATACGAGATTGTTGCATTTTATTACTCTCGTGCATTTCCATAATTAAAGTATTTGTATCTAGTGCAGAAGGTACTGATTGTCTTTTCTTATCTCCAGATTTTGGGCCAACCACAACTTTGTACATGTCAGATTGATCCGTACTCATCATACCTAAGAAAGGATTATGATTTTGAACTCCATTTCCTCCATCATTAGACGAATATAACGGATCTAAATTCAAATTTTTCGAAGATCCATTTAGCGCTTTTAGAAAACCAAATGGATTAAAGGTTGTCTTAGAAGTTGTACCATTTGTAATTTCTCTACTTGTAAATGTTTGTTTTGATTTTGAAGCATTATTATTTTTATTTTGATTAAATGATGATGATGTTTGCATAGCTGTTGTAGTAAGTTCCGGTTCTGGAGCAGATTGTTCAGGATTTGAATTTTTTTTTGATTCGAATACCTTCTTTTGAGACGATTTATTATTATTATTCTTGAGCAATTGAGTATAACATGGCTCTTGCTGAATGGAAGAAATTGGATTCCGTCGTATTTGCACTTTTGGAAAGTGTTGTTCAGTAGATATAGCGTTTCTTTGAAGTATTTGATCTGGAATCTCAACGTTTAATGAAGAAGTATCAATTGGGGATATTGGATTCGATTCATGTTTATGATTTTGATCCTGAATCGGAGAGATGGGTGATGACATGAAAGTTGGTTCATCGGTGAATTTTTTCGATAAGTTATTCAAAGGTTCCGGAATGTGTTGTTTCCCCTTTGACATTGAGTTTATAGTCGGAGAAGACGGAATAGAAGGGGACAATTCTGTAATAGCGTTATGACGCTTTATCGGAGACGATGTTGCTAAAGTAGTCTGACTTCGTTTAACTGGAGATAATATCGGAGATGAGGGTGCCGAGTTGTTCGGAGATGAAGCTTTTTCATATATATTTACAAGATTGGTTACTTTTCGAGCTGGAGGTAATGGACCGATTTGATTAAACACGTCTTTTGTGTTAAGCACATGATCACGTGGACGCGTTATGTAACTATCTTTGGCGGGAACGGGTGGTATGGATTTAAGAGCCAATATAGAAAGTGGACTTGAAGTTTCTTCATTGTAAGAGTCATCATTCTTTGGCAAAGAATTCCGATCCATTCTTCCTTGATCATTTTCTCCGGATATTAATGTATGTATGTTGTGGGTAGGAGATAAAGGAGCAGATGAATAGGGTGATTTGTCTTTTGATTTTGGAAAAAAAACTTGATTTTGCGGAGAAGATGAAGAGGAAGTATTTGGATATAAAGATCTTCGTGGTGACTTTGTAATCGGTTCAGGATCATTTTCTTGTTTTTCGGCCCAAAATTTAATTAAATCGTTAACGGGTTTTTTAAGAGGGAGGTTTGCCATTTTTTTTTTTTATTATTACGAAATTAGGCCAAAAAAATTAATTGGAAATATACAATATATGAAAATTTTTCTTTGCTATGCGAGAACAAAAAAATTGTTAATTAATAAAAGGTAAAAAAGGAAAAGAAACAAAAGAAAGGTAAACAAAAAAAGATTTATAAATATCATACCATTACTAAACAATTATTATTTTTTGTAAAGATTAAATAGAATAAATCCAGAAGTATTAAAACGTTATGTAAAGAATGGTACAATTCAAAAGCGGTTGTAAAAAAAAAAAAAGGAAAAGAAAAAAAAAAAAAAGAGCGTTAGGGGGAAGCAATTTGTATGACCCGAGTAATTATTTCCCTTAAATCACAAGTATTTATTAATTTCTCCGTTTTTTTTACGCCAAAATTGAGTAATTGAAGTAATTCAAAAAAGTATTCGTCATGGTTAGGGGTAATACAGTCAACCTCTCTATAAATGCACCCCTTGGGATCAGACACGTGGTTTTTTTTCGGTATGATTAATTATATCACGTGTTATTTAAACATTATTTTTCCTATATTAGACTCCCATTTTAGAATACGTCCCAAGCTGGGACTTATATGCTAAATGCACGTTTTACATATACCTTTCTCTGTAAAATTTTATAATAGTTACTTGTATTACTTTTAATGCCATATAAATTTATATATCTCTATAAATGCCTCTCTATACTTAGTAAAGTATTAAAATCTCCGAATTGTGTCATGTGCCTAATTAATTAACAATGATGAAATGCATAAAAGTAATTTTTAATAGCTCGCTAATAACGAGAAAAAAAAATGATGAAATGAATCATGGTTTTTTTTTATTATTTAAAATATCTAAAAAAAAAAAGTTACATATATTACTAATTTTTTATTACATATTATATTTTATGAAAACCTCTAATTTCTGATACAAATTTTTTTTATTAAACTAACCTTATTTATTTCTATTTTGACAAAGAAACTCAGGAAAATCAAGCAGATTTCGTCATATGTTAATTATAGGTCTAATTATTATATTTCGAATACATATACTTTTTTGAATATTCGAATTCGAACGGAATATCCGAAAATTTTCAATTTAAAACTTTCAATAAAAACCAATTTTATATAACTGTGGATTTAAAACCAATTAAAATCTTAGTCTATCTTACCGTTAATTGATTCTCCTCCTTAGGATGAATTTAATCAGATAAATGAAGTTGAGACCTTTAGATGTTAAGAGATGAAGATATCCTGTATTTAGAACATTTTGACGTGAATTTGAGATTCTTTTCCTAGCGCTTTTTCATGATGAGAGTGATACACTTGATTGGATTTCCTCCAAAGCAATTTTCTCTCGTAAGCTTCTTGAGACATGTTATTACATTTTTAGAATCATCGTTGTAAGACTTCAAAAAGTCTGTTTATTTTGATCTTTAATAATCTCACTTTTTTAACTCAAACTTTATGTTTTACTGCGTATATAAATTATTTCTTGGACTTCATTAATGCACACATAATGTAATAATTTATTTATCATCGTAAAAAAAGAAAAATTTGAATTACTTCATGCATTTAGCAAATCATCCAATCAAATTTGATTTCAAAGAAGGTAATATAATTTTGATATTATGCTATACCCTGTCTGGTTATGATACTAAATCTTACAAATAGTTTATAATCTTCAAGGATAACCGCTAACATTTTGATAAAAATATGGAATAATTTGAACATAATGCTTATACCTTTTCGACTTTGGTCGCAATTTTTTTTCACCGAATAATCACGAAAGGAAACTCCAATTCATGCATGATTAACTATTATGAGTTGGACTTATTATCGAAGAAAAGAAAATCGCAGAACATCAGAAAAAAAATTTTATATTATTTTACCTTTTAATAAAAATATATTTCTACGCTTTTACTAGGAATCTCATTATAAAAAAAGTTCAATAGTAATGAATTTTGATTAAATCAGTTTTCTTCACATTCTTTATAATAGGTTTTTAAATAACATCGAAATTTTTACTTGCATTTTGCGTTGAGAGAAAATATACGGCAAAATTTCAAAATCAACTTATCCAACAACGCGTCTTTTCGTATTTTCGAAGCCATTCCCACCATAAATATTACTCAAAAGTTAATATTACTAATATTCAGGGGTACGGTATAATACAAATATCTCCTTTATCGTGAACAAGAGTGGTTCTAGTATTTGTTAGTACCATGAATCTTTGAATTGATATCGGGCTATTATTTAGGTGTGTTATTTGAATTGGTCACTTGTCTGTTATTAACTTTGTGGAGTCTAGGGGTGCACAGTAAAAACATTATCATGTCCTAAGTCTTGGTGATGTCTCTTGGTGGGCTTATCCTCTCGAGACTGTGTTTATTCCTAATTTCTCTGAAGCACGAATGTAAGCTTTAGCAGAATAATAATATTCGGATGGCATCCGTTTGGATGTCAGACTCTCTTTCGATCGAATCTGGTCTAACCCACCCCACCTTCATTTTTTTTTTAATAATTTAATAATCACAGAAATTAGAACTTGGACAGAACTTTTTATTAATAATCGTTTAATGAAATTACAACTATAAATAAAGTATTAACATATATATACATCTTTAAAATTCTTTCATGATTTTGAGCAAGTTATTATATGGACGCAAACAATCGAGATTGATCGTTTTGTAGGATATGATGATTCTAAAACAACTTCCTGGGTAATATTTGCTTGAACCAATTAAATTAGTCTATGCAGTGCTATTTTTTTTTGATATAAAATTTCTTTTTTTGAATTTCAGCCTACGGTCTATTAAGAAGAAATTCTATTAAGGATTAGTGGAAATCTTTATTCGTCTAAATTAGTAACTAATTAATTCATAAAAAAATATTTATTCACTTTAGGTAAATTTAGGAAGGAAAAAAAATGAATTTTGATGATTTGCTTGAAAAACAGCGTAAATCAGAACCTAGGGTGGTTCTTGTAATGCGCATTTTTACGATACTTATCATCTCATCATGCTTCATATCATATATCACAATTTTAATTGTTGATGTAAATGATGAAATTCCTTCGATTAAAACATCAGAAGTTCCCGTGGATTCAATTGAAATTCCCATTTTTTAAGATTTAAAATAAAAAAAACCCCCCTTTTAAAAATACAAATCAAAGATCGCTTTCGTTTCTTTTTTGAAATATACAAAAAAAAGTATTATTCCAAATTGGAAAAAGAACTTTGGAGTGTTTTTAGATTATAAAAAATATACTTATATTAAAACAAAGTTTGATCGTAAGTAATTTTTTAGCTTTTCTTTTTCATTTTTTTATTTACACATTTTTATCTTTTATTGTGTAGAGGAATATTCGATTGATTTTAATGAATCTTATCAAGGTATGATTATAATTAAACCGGGTTCATTTATTAACTTTATGGAAACTGAGCAGAGGTATAATTTTGCATTCATTTATTTGGTTATTTATTTATTTTGTTTAAACTAATTTTTATCGCTCTTATACTTATAAGAACTAGCACGGTAAGCTTTTTTTAAAATTGTACTTGAGTATTATTGGAGTTATAGGCGGTATGTAATCTTATATATAATTTATTACGATATAATATAAACTCCTTGAAAAAAATGTATATAAATTGCTCTTAATCCAGGTGCTTGAGGGCTAGTAGCGGCATTTTATGCTTTTCTATTTGGTAATATTTTCCATGGAAAGGTTGAAATTTAAGTATTTTTCATAAATTACTAATTCCTTATAACCTATTGATTAGGCGTATCTTCAATCCATCCGTGGGGTTTTATGCAGAAACATTGTTGTGGAATTAAACCAAAAACAGAGAAAATTAAGAGAATCGTTGTCTATTTTACCGTTAATTGATTCTTCTTTATATGATCACACAGATACAGCGGAAGAAATTTCTGTAGAAGAATTCTATCAGATGAAAGGAAGATTGAAATCTTTAGAAAAGTTATTAAGAGAATATGTTATTGATGTAAAATATCTACAAAGCATTGAAAAAAATAAGCAGAAACCAGAAATGGGTGAAACTTCTTCAAAAAGATCAATTCGTTTCCTGTTTAGTCGGTGATTTATTTTTATAAATTATGATAGAATTTTTGTTTTTATTTAAAAAATAATATCCCTGTACTTTTCTTGAAGCTTTTTATCTAAATCACAAAGTTGTTTATTTCTTTTGTTCATTTTGTTAACAAAGTTGTTTTTCAAATTCTTCTTTTTGATTTAAAAGTTTTTTATTTAGATTAACTGGTCCATAGAATAGTTTTTCTAATTCCATGTGATTTTCTTTGTATCTTTTAATTTGTATTTATAATTCCTCATTCAATCTCTAATTTTCCAATTCATTTCTTGTTCAAATTAGTATTAACATCTGATAAAAAAATTATTTCAGGTGTTCTCAAAACTGTTATCTCGATTTTTTTGAAATTTTGAAATTTTTTTATAGAAAGCAGATCAAAAAAAAATACTCAAGGTTTGATATGAATCTTCTATAGCTACATACGCGTTTGGATTTTTTTTTATTTTATCTAAAAAATAAGTATCTGTAATTGAATTTTAAATAAACAATTATTTTTGATTTTAAATTAATTAAATTTAAATTATAATATATTATATAGTAAATAAATTAAAATAGTTAAAATTAACAATAATGATCTAATTATTAATTATAATTATATAATAATTTATTTGTTACATAACAATAATATGACTAGCTAAACTTTATGGTTTGTTATAAATTAAAAATTATCGTTGTTCCATTGTATGAATGAAAAAATTGGTATTTATAGAAAAGAATTATTTACTAAAAATAGAATTTGTATTGTTTTGCGAATTTAAATAACAAGTTAAGCTATCCAAAAATAGTAATATCCTATTAAGGATTAATGTAAATCTTTATTAGTATAAATTATATTATTGATGCCATGTGACCAATCTATTTATCAAAGTATGCGCTAAAAAATTTTTATAGAAAAAAGTGAAAAAATGAATTTTGATGATTTGCTTGGAAAGCAGCGTAAATCTGAACCTAGAGTGGTTCTTATAATTCGTATATTCACGTTATTTATAATTTCCTCATGCATAATTGCGTACATCATAATTTTAATCAAAGAAGTTATAAATGAAATTCCTGCGATTAAAACCTCGGAAGTTACTGTGGATTCACTAGCAATTCCCGGTAATATAATAAAAAGAGATTTCGTTTTCTCATTTGATTTTAACCTCGTTAAACATAACAATTTATGTAATAATAGATATCGTGTTTTCTTTTGGCTATACTTTTCAAGTTTATTGCTATTTTGTATGGACTATTAATGGTATTTTTTTATTTAAATCGCAAAATTTTTATTATAAAGTATGAATTAATTAATTATTCATTGATTTTTAGGATTTTATTCTAGAAATGAAACTGATCGTTGTACACAGTATATAACTTTTCCAAAATATATTGAAGGGGAATATAGTGGATATTTTTCTTTAAATGATCAATCGCAGTATTTTCATTCCATGAAACTTAAACAAAATGAAGAACGGTTAGATTATTTGACATTTTTAATAATTGTTGACGACCCAAATTTTAATGTTTCTATGGTAAGCTTTTCTACCCTACCGCCTTACTCGGTTATTTTTGATTCAGGTAAATAAAGTTTACTTATAATTTTTAAAAATTTAACTTTAATAATTTATTGATAAATTATTTAAATATACAAAATAAATAAATATACATGCATTAGAAAATAATCCAATCAAATTATCAAATGGTACTTTGGAAGAATGGTAAATTTTAATCAAGCGTCAATTTTCGAGCAAGATTTGTTTTTAAATAGTATATTTCTATTGCCAGATAAAATGGTATATACTTTTTTGTTTTCTTTTATTTGATATATATATATATATATAAAACTTCAGGGTTTAAATTTCCTATATCCTTTATTTCTTTTTTTTTTTTAAAAAAAAAGCTCTCTACCATTTCATTTTTGAAATACAGAAAAAGAAGTATTATTCCAAGTTGGATAAATAATGTTGGATTTTTTAATTATAAAGAAACTGTTTATATTAAAACAAAGTCGAATCGTAAGCTTTTATTTATTTATTTATTTGGAAATATAATTTCATCTATTGATTAATTATCTAGAAGGAATTTTTACCGGCGAAAAAGAAGCTAATTATTATAGTTATATGGTCATTAAACCAAGTTCGTTTATAAGTTATATTGAAACCGAACAGAGGTATAATTTAAATTCTTTTTTTTCACAAAAATTTTTTAAATCGGTTAACCTAATTATATTATAATTTTTAAAGATCTAGCACGGTGAGCGTTTTAATATAATATTATTATAAAATTTATAATAATTAATTAATATAAAATATATGATGATAGTACATGGGAATTTTTGGAGTTATAGACGGTTAGTAATGGTCTATAATCTGTAATCGGTACGATAAATACAAATACGAGTACAACAATTTAAACTCATGTATACAAATTTCTTTAAAACATAGGTGCATGGGGTTTGGTTGTGGCATTTTATGCCTTTCTATTTGGTAATATTTCACTGGTATTTTCAATGTAAAACATTATTTCATGACTAATTTCTTAATAACTTTTTTAGGCGCGTCATTAATCCATCCGTGGGGTATTATACAGAAATATTGTTGTGGAATTAAACCAATAACACAGAGCAAGTTAAGAGAATCGTTGTCTATTTTACCGTTAACTGATTCCTCGTTATTGGATGACAAGGATAAAGTAGAAGAAGTTTCCGTAGAAGAATTTAATCGGATGAAAGAAAAGTTGAAATCCTTAGAAATTTTATTAAGAGAATATGTTATAGATGTAAAGTTTCTACAAAGTATTGATAATGTTAATATTAGTAAAGCATAATATATATATATATATTCCCCGTTTACTAATCGTTCGTCCATGATACTACACATCGATATTTTACTGGATTTGAATTTTCCGGGAAAATATCAATATTTAATCATTACCGGGATATATTGAAAATCGTACTGGAAACCATTTATCAATGAATATATTAAACAAGTTTTAAATATAATAAAAGACTTTGTTAACATGTGTTAATAATTGAAAACGACATTCGTTAAATCCTTGATAATGCTTTATATTCCGTTCCTCTTATTTTTTTTTCATAGCAGTAATATAACTTGCCACTTGATTTTCTAATATAGATATGTCCGAAATAAATTGATCCTCTTATTGATTTGAATCAGTCATATCTTTACGAAAATTGTCAAATTGTTCAAGCTATATTTCACTGCTTTTACTGTCACGTAAATTATTTTTATAAAATGAATTGCTTTTATTTCAATAATGCTTTTAGATATTTTGGAAGCTAACGGGCATTGTTAAATTGTTTATAATTATTTGATTTCATTTTAATGTTTAGAGAAATGTGACTAACAATTTATTACGAAATCATTTTTTATCATGGGCGCTAGTAACCATGAATATATTAGTTATTTACTTAATTAGTGAAGGACTATATATTTCTATGCTCAAAATTTAAGTCGATACGTGATTGGTCTCTTTCATGTTTCGGACTTAACAACGGTTTCCGAAACCGTTTCCTAGTGAGGTGAGATGCTTAAAATTAAAATTCAATTTGAGAGGAACTTTCTTTTCTTTTAATGGTTTAATAGTAAACGAGTGAAATAAGCCAATATATCAAATCTAATCAATCATTTGCTATAAAGTATTTTAAATCTTTTAATTTGCTAATTTTTGACAATCATTTAAAATTACATTCAGTACTTCACTTATAAATATAGTATTTAATGATTTCTTACAAGAGGGTGAAAAGATGGATGAAAAATATTGTTTCTTTCGCAACGACGTAAATGATGAATTTATATAACCAATTGTTAACTAATGATTAATCATTGTTTCATTATTGCCACAACATCATCCAATGTTATTGTTTTTTAAAATATAAAAATAATTTGAATTCCCGACTATTAAGGATTAAAGTAATTTTATCATATTAATGTGTGACTAATGCATAAATCAAGAAAATTTAAATGAATCAGAACCTAGATGTTTCTTATATATGCGTATAATTCCGTTATTTTCAGTATTTATTTTTTTTAAAAAAAAGACGCGGTGAAGCATTTATTTTATTGAACATTTCCTGAATATATAAAGAAAATCCCAAAATGGATATATATAGTAGAAAATAAAGTAAATGCTGCTTAGCCTTCTTTGAAGTATAAATAGCTACTCCAACAAAACCAACCGGTTGTCTCATCATGTTCAAATTCAAATACTATGAAAAGAAAATCAGTACATAACAAAATAAATTTTTACAAGTTTTGAGACATGGTTTTCACTGCGTTAAAAAGGGCCATGATCTGAAGATTGAGGAGCAGAAATATGCGTAGGAGAGGAGAGGTATTGTTGATTTCTTTTGTTCTTTATTGATCTGGTGATGTTAAGGGATAATTCTATAAGGAAGAAATTATATTGTTATTAGAATTGGTGAAGTCATCAATGAGTCAATTCCTTTGATTTAAGTTAATCAATTGTAGGAATGTTGCATTGCTATAGTGACTGTGGATTACTCGTGAAGTTAACATCTTTTTTTTTGTCGTAATACTTTACTATCATTTTCTTTTTCTTTACAACTTTTATTCCCAACACAGTTCTTTTTATCATGTCAAAATCTTTTAAAAATTTTTGTTTTCAAGCGGATAAAATGAACCTAATAATTGAGAAATGTCAATTAGAACAATCTAAGATCGTTATTCGAATGTTTCATAAATCAATTTTTTATTGCGAGTGATTATTCCCAAAGCATAAGCTAAAGCATCAATATTTTGTAGTTGTTCTTTTATATCTAAAATTAATAATATAAGTTTTAACAGAATTTAATATTTATAAATGTATTTTTTTTATAATTAAATAGTTTAAATTAAATAAATTCTCTCTGTGCTATAATAATTATATATGGCTGTGTAATTATTAGGTAATTAAAAAAAAAGGACTATACCCAAAATCGAATGAAAACAATAGCTGACAAAAGAATATAAATAATGACGATTAAAGATTTTTTTGGGTTAAGTACTTCTGTAGGATAGTGTAAATTCTATATTTAGAATGTAGCTGTCGAACTAAGGAAATTTGGTTAATATAATGATATGTTTCATTTATTGATAGTTTTAAATATTTCAAATATCAAAGTTTCAATTCAAATTATTTATATAATCGAATCGTTAATTTTTTTTTTTTAAAGATATCTTGATATTTTTTTTTCGGATTTGATATTCCTTGATATTCCATGCATCAGTTATTGTGAGTGTCGCATAAAATTCTGACCAATGCAACCCAAATTGGTAATCAAAGATAGATAATTTCTTTTTTTTTTGAATTAGGTAATTTTTAAAAGACTCCGAAAAATTTATTCTATTAAGGGTTAGCGTTCGTCTAAATTTAATGCAAATAATAATAAAAATGTCATGTGTTTGATTCATACAATTCTTATATATCCAATGTGCGAAAAAAAATAAAAAATCAGTAAAAATGAATTTTAGTGATTTTATTGGAAAACAGCGTAAATCGGAACCTAGAGTGGTTCTTATCATGCGTATAATTATAATATTTATAATTTCATCGTGTTTAATAGCATATATGGCAATTTTAATCAATGATGTAAAAAGGGAAATTCCTGCAATAAAAACTTCGGAAGTTACGGTGGACTCACTCGCAATTCCCGGTAATTAGATTAATGCCTTTTTACATTTTTTGTTAGCTTTGTTAACGTTTACCATAACAATTTACGTAAAATAATAGATGTCCTAATTTCATTTGATCGTCCTTTTCATATTTATTGTACTTTCGTATGGAATATTAATGGTATTTAAATTTCGAAATTGTATCTGATTGATTGATTGATTGATTGATTATTTTTTTTTCTTTAGGATTTTATTCTAGAAATGATAGCGAATCTTGCATGAAATACATCACTCAACCAACATATATTGGAAAATTATATACTGGATATTTTTCTTTAAATGATCAATCACAGTACTTTACTCCCATTAAAACAGATAAAGAATGTTTTGAATCTTTGGCAATTGTGGTTATTAATGATGATCCAAATTTTATTAATAAACCATCACTTTCTTCAATAATACCTTTCGCAATAATTTTCGATTCAGGTAAGTAAATAATACTTTATAATTCTTAAAGATGTAACAAAGTTAATTCTCTATTTTTTTTTTAAAAAAAAATTTATTAGAGAATAATCCTATTAAATTATCAGACGGTACATTAGACTTATCAAAGACAAATATGTCTCAATCGACAATTGATGAAAACGAGTTATTATTGAATAATGTGTTTGCATTGGCAGATAGAATGGTATATGAATACTTATGATTCTCTTAAAAAAGAAGGTTTTTATTTCATACGTTAAATTTTCTTTAATATAACAACAACAAAAAAAGTTCTCTTTAGTGAATTTTACGAAATATATAAAAAGAAGTATAATTCCAAGTTGGATAAGTGATATTGGATTATTTTTCAATCACAAAGAAAGTGCTTATATTAAAGCAAAGTTTATTCGTAAGTAATTTATTCTTATTAACATTGAAAATAGAATTTAAATATACTTATTAAAAGGATACTTATTAATCGTTTAGAGGGAGTTTTTGTTGCTGAAAGCGAACGTTTAAGTGGAATTAAAGTTAAACCCGATTCCTTTATTAATCATATTGAAACCGAACAAATGTATAATTTTATTTATTTATTTTATTTTATTGTTTTACAAAAAAAAAATTTAAATTTGTCAAATTAAATTTATTTATTTCATCTCATTTTTTTAAAAAAGAACTAGTACGGTAAGTATATATAATATTATTTAAGATAGATATGGGTTTGCTTTACAAATTTTACAGATAATTAAATTAATATATTATATAATAAATAGTACTTGGGTATGATTGGAGTTATAGGCGGTAATTAATGATTTAAAATCTGTATGATATAAAAATTCAACGACTTAATCTAACTTCTTCTAACAAAGGTGCTTGGGGACTAGTCGTGGCATTTTATGCTTTTCTCTTTGGTAATATTTCATTGGCAATTTGAATTAAAATTTTCATAAGTTACTAATTCCTTATAACCTATTTATTAGGCGCATCATCAATCCATCCGTGGGGTTTTATACAATCACATTGTTATGGAATTAAACCAAAAACTCAAAGCAAATTAAGAGAATCATTATCTATTTTGCCATTAACTGACTCTTCCTTACATAGTACAACAAACGAGATCTCTGTGGAAGAAAGATTGAGATCTTTAGAAATTTTATTAAGAGAATATGTTATTGATGTAGAATACTTGCAAAGAATTGAAAATAGTAAGATAAGGAAAGTAGTGTCCCAAAATAAATGACATGTGAACAAGTTTTGTTCTTATAAAATTAAGGAATTCAATAAATAAAATCAGTAACCAAGTAAAATTGTCACCTAATTTAAGGAGAAATTTAAACTTGGGTGAATAATTTAGCCATTCGTAAATTTGTATATATAATTTTACGATTACGATATTCAAATTTTTTTTCATTACTCGTACATCTTTTATAATTCATTTTATAATTTTTAGTTTTTCTCGAGTTTCTTTATCAAAGATAACATCAAAAAGAATAATTTTAGCTTTCATATTATATTTATAATGTTCACGTGTTGCTCCTATGAGTATATAGTATATTAGTTCGGTATGATAGGATTCGATAGGTAAGGTATGATTGATTATGTATAGGTACGATACTAATCATACCAATATGTTAAATAATCACAACAAAAAATCATTAATATTTTAATCCTTTAGTTAATATAAATCATACCGTTATGTCAAATGATCACAATGGAAAATCGTAAACCCATATATTATTAGTAAATAATGACTTTATGTATATGATGATTTTACTTCACGTTAATATTTTTTCTACCATTTTTTTCATTTAAATTAAGCTTTACTCTTTACATTTTATCAATGGAAGTTGATACAGTAACTGGTGAACTTGAAATTGAAGCGAAATTACATTAGAAGAACGAAAAATGCAACTCAAACAAAATGAAATTGATCTAAAGTTAAAAGAATTGCAGCTCAAAAATAAAATGGGAATATATTGTTGTGCAAAATGGTAGCTTTATTTAAGGCTTTAATAAATACAATTGTAACGTGCAGAATAATAGGAAATTTTTCTAACGATTTCAAGCGCTTTTTTTACTTATTAATTTAGTAAATTAAAATAAATTTCGTTCTATATAAATAAAAATAAATAAATTCATTTTAAATATAGAATATATATTTTTTTACTTTTGATTTACTATATATGAATGCCAAGTATAAATATAATATTTTATTACTAATTTTTACTTAAGACTATTATTAAAATTCTTCAAACGAACGTAAATGAATATTGAATATCATGTATATAGGTCAATGGGTCTGACATAATTTTAAATATTTGCAATACAAGTATGATGTTTTAGGTGTGCAGTTACGTACCTTACCTGCAACTTTAGTTGTATGTATTTAATACTACTAGGAAACAGGTACGATATGATTGACAAATGTATTAATCATACCAGTACGATGTTATTCGTAACTATTATTAAACAATCATACCGTAATGGATATACATTAACGTAACGTAACCATTTAAAGAATACCGTGCTCCTATTTTGTAAAGTTATAGATATTTAACCGCATAAAAAGTTGCGGAATAATGAGTGCCTAAAATGTTTTACAAAAATCTGCGGCACTTAAAGCACGATTGTTTCAATTCAATAAACACTTAGGTTTAAAGTTAATATTACGTATTCAAATTTTCCAAGTAAAGGATCGATCCAATTTACAATAATAACTTGAATAAGTCAAGCCTTCCCCGCATTTATAAATAAAAGGGCGTAATATGTCATCCAATCGGACAGAACAAAGATAATTATGAAGCCTAACATGCTTGGAAAACAGCGTAAATCAGAACCTAGAGTGGTTCTTTTAATGCGTATATTTATGTTGTTACTTATAATTTCATCATGCTTAATAACATATCGTAATTTTAATCGTTGATGTGAATGATGAAATTCCTGCGATTAATACCCGGTAATAAAAATTTTGTTTTCCTTGCCATTTTTTTCTTATAAAAATTTACTGATGTATTGTTATTAATATCATAGATTTTACATTTTCATTCGGTTTTTCTTTTAAAATTTTGTGCTCATTTATATGGCTTAAAAATAGTTTTTATATTTTTACATTGCGAAAAGGTTTAAAGTAATATATTAATTTTTAATTTTTATTTTTATTTTAAGAAATTCAAGTTAGAAAGGATATTGAATCTTGTACGCAATACATAGTTTCTCCAAGATATCTTAAAGGAACATACAGAGGATATTTTTCTTTAAACGATCAATCATATTTGTTTGCTTTCTCGAAACAAAATGAAGAACGGTTAGATTCTTTGGTACTAACGATCCTAGTTGATGATCCAAGTTTTAATACTTCTATGATCACATCTCTTCGCTTTTCATGCCACCAAACATCCAAGTCTTTGATTCTAGTGAGAACCATACATTATATAACTTAATGGTATTGATGTTTATTGAAATCTTTTTTTTTTTAGAAAATAACCCTATCAAGTTATCAGATGGTACATTAGATTTATCAATGTTGAACATTTCTCGAATCATTTATGAACGGGAGTTAACTGATAATTGGTTTATGATGCCAAATAAATTGGTAAAATTTATTTTATATACTTTTTTTCCTTTAATTGTAAAAAGGAACAAATTCAAATGCGAATTTTTTTTTTCCACTTTTTTTAAGATTTCTTTTATTTCTTTTTTGAAATATATAAAAAAAGAAGTATTATTCCAAGTTGGAAAAATAATTTTGGAATGTTTTTAAATTATAAAGAAAGTGTTTACATTAAAACAAAGTTGGATCGTAAGTAATTAATTTTTGTTTTAGGAAAACAAAAAAAGGAATTAGAAATGTAGCTTATTACGATAATTTTTTAATTATGTAGAGACATATCATATCCTATTGATGGAATCCCAGATGATCTTTATTTTAGTATTGCTTTTTTTAGACCAAATTCATTTATTGATATTATTGAAGTTGAACAAAGGTATGTTTTTAATAAAATAAATAAATAAATAAATTATCTTACTAAACAAATTCTTTTCTATTTATTTTTAAAAAGATCTAGAATGGTAATTGTTCTGATTTTATGAAATTAAAAAAAAAAATTTTTTTAATTAATTGTGTTTATTCAAAAGTACTTGGGCGTTATTGGAGTTATAACTAACTCTACATATTTAGTATAATATAGAATTTTGATTATAAAAACTTAAGCTAATGTATAAAACATAACTCAAAAACAAGTGCATGGGGATTAGCAGTGTCATTTTACGCTTTTTTATTTGGTGATAACACATTTTATATCTTTTTTTTTGATTTTTGATTTAAAATTTTTTCATAAGTTACTAATTCCTTATAACCTATTGATTAGGCGCTTTATCAATCTACCCATGGGGTTTTATACAATCACATTGTTGTGGAATTAAGCCAAAAACACAAAATAAGTTAAGAGAATCATTGTCTCCTTGCATAGTATGATAAAAGAAATTTCTTTGGAAGAAAAATTGAAATCTTTAGAAATTTTATTAAGGGAATATGTTATTGATATAAAGTATCTACAAAGCATTGAGAACAGTGAGATTAGAACAGAAAATAACCAAAATGAGTATGATAGTGTTATGACATTATCACCAGATCAATAATTTAAATTTTGCTGAAAGCATTGTTTCAATAGTAAAATAGTAAAATAAGTGATTACAGTCACACCTCGATATAACGAAATTGCCGATCCAGCCGATCAGGACTTCATTATAAGAATCTTCGTTGTAGCGTTAACGAATTATTCGTTATAGTAGATGATTACTGATTTCATTACACAAATATAATTTTACTATAATATAATTTTTTCAGAAATATTTTGTA